GGGGAAGGGGAAGAGAAGATGCCACCATGCACTGGTGTCTTCTTGGTGAAGGAGGTGAAAATTCTCCTTGTTTTGTTTTTACCTGGAAAAATAAATAAAAACTATCCATTAAAACTAAATCTAGCCAGGTTGTCATGATGCAAGAACACTTTCAGCTGTGCCCTGGGTTACGCTTTTTAGAGTATCATGTGAGTAAATTTCATCACACTACCATCACACCAAAAAATATAAAAGAAACTATAGCTTTTAATTTCAAGAGGACATTTTCAATTATGACCAAAAGCAGCCCAATCAATACAATATTCACACATTTGTAGTCGAAACTATATTTGACTTCAATGTTGTTAACACCAAAAAAGTGCTGAACTGATTACAATTGACAAATAATTGGCTTCATTACTACTTATGTAAAAAATTGCGAGGAGTTTTGCGTGGTGATCATATGAGCGTTAAAAAAAAAAAAACATTAATTTACAAATTTGAGTTCCCATAGTTGGTTACGTCTCGTGGCATCAATACATACGAGCCTTAAAATAACCAAAAATTCCATTGTGAGGTAAATTAATGTGAAACTAAATGAAGCCTAACGAGCAATAAATCTAAAAGCAATATTCTCGACGTTTCTTTGTTTAAATTTTCAATTCAAAATCGTGAAACCGTAACAAAATGTTTACAGGTCTAATTTTATTGATCGATTCGTCATCAGGTTTCAAATATATCAATAAATTAGCTTAACTCACAATTTTCCATTAATCTGCTTTCTTTATCGGAGAGATAAGATTGGTAAAACGTAAAATTTTGTGCACGCATTAATTCATAGACACAGACGTCTATTTGCAAAGGAGGAATGTTGAAAAAAATCAAATCAGCGGTATAATTATAACCTTTGACAAGGCTACTTGATTGTGAATTTCATTTGCTGCACTTCAGGAATGCATAAAATTGATTTCTTTGTCGAGTGATTATACTCAATTTACGAGACTATAACTTCAAAAAGCTACTCCAAAGCACTTGTTGTCTAGCAATTGCTACGAAAACTTTTTTTTTTGGTAAATGTATAGTTTCTGTCAGAAGACTATTGTCAAACACTTCAGTTTTGGCGAGATGCCATATTGTTCAAAGAAACCAAACTGGCTTCCTTCATAACAGGAAAATACAACAAAACTTTCACCATTGCAACTTCCTTTGGGATAATTTCCCACCAAACAGCTTACAGCAATGTTTGTTCATGATTAGTGAGCAATAACGTTGAGATCATTAACAAGATATCGCAAAGAGTTTGTCTCCAAGAATAGCGAATAAATAAAGATTTACTTATCAACACAAGGCGACCCATCTCGTGAATACTGCCATTTCTCACCTTTGTGCCATCGACAGATATGATGCGGTGTGTTCCTTGGTTAGGATCATAATAAAATGATACAGTTACCGCCTGTTTGGAGCAGGGTAGCCAGCTTTTTTTCGTTGCAGGATCAATCTGGAAGACATGGGCCCGTGTCGAAAACACCGGTTGCTCCCTATGGAGGAAATACATTAATAAGAAATCAAAATATACTCCCGTTTAAATTATGACCACATTCTGAAGTAAAAAGGCAGTTTACCCCATGGATAACTAGGCTATTTTTAAGCTGTAATGTCCTGTCCGAGCTCAGTTTACTGAAAGATGTTCTTCATCTTCTATGTCAACTGACGGATCTTATTCACGCTCTGTGTCTAGGTAACCGCGCCAGCAACTTGGATTCCGCTTTGTTTTACGAACCCACGAACTTACGAATTTCGTAATTTTTTAGTAAAAGGACATCAAAATACTCAACAAAATCGAAACAAATATTCAGATATAGCTAACTTAAGACCTCAGTTCCTACTTTAAATTTTGTTTCTTAAAGGCGAAAAGTTAATTTTATAGATACAAAAGATTTAACCAATGACACTATTTATTTTCCGACTTTGCAGCCAAATTTTATATTATTTATATTGTGTGCAAGCAAAGGAACAAAAACACAAAAGCTTTATGAGAACACCGACAGCAAATCGGAGATAAAAAGCAGTCCCTCATGAGAAAAATAATGAAGTTATTCCTGATAAAAATGAGTGATTTCCTGCCTTTTTATAGCTCTTGGTTAAAAAAAAAAATGACTTTCTCGAAATTCACACGAGAAGGAAATTACTCCTTAATATATATTGGAATTGGTTTCGACATTTTTAAATCAATGTCTGCTTGGGGAATACCAAAAGACTAAAATCAAAAGGGTCTCTTAATTCTAGAAATATCACATCCAGTAAGTTTGCATAAACTTGTGACCATGGAAAATAGATAAACAGTAGTGAATAATTTTTCAAAAATAATAAAGTTTCAGATTTAGTTTTATATATTACAGCCAAGTTTTTTGGGCTTCAATACTATATTTATCTACCGTAATATTTTTGCTAAGCTAAATGGCAACAAGCAAATATTGCAAAAGCACTAAGAGATATTTAATCTTTACGTTACTATTGTGACCCCCAGCGTTGGAAAACACTTATGATTTTTTACGTCATTCAACTCGGTTGTAGATGTCATTACAGGAAAATCTGAGTTAAAATCTGCGACTTGTGCTTTTCGAATTTGAGGCGTACCTTCGACCGCAAATTGAAGATGATTCTTTAAGAGTGATAACTCGAGTTGAGCTGAATGTAGTAAAACTGGGAATTTACTTTAAGGCTGGAATAATTATAATCATTTCAATCTATCTATAATCAATCTATATTTATCTAAGGATCGATTATACATGTAAGACTATAATATCCAGATAGATATCTCTGAGGATTACGTAGTCTGATCTCTACTGCTACGTATATATAAAGCTATTTTTGAAAAAATGCTATTTTGAGTTTCAACTGTTGTTCGCAAGGACTGCAAATACCCCGCTACTGAAGTTAAGGTCTAAACTAGCCGGGTCAATCGCGCGGGCGAAAAAGTGTGGAATTTACTTAATTTTCAGGAAACATAATGCAAAATTGGTAACTTCAGCAGATCTGACAACTTTGCTAGTTTGGCGTCTGTTTCAATCTGGTTTAACTTGAAGCTGTTCAGTAAATTAACAATTTTCCACTATAGGAGTCTGTTCAACCGAAAAAGGTCGTGAAGACATTACCTGACACATGTATGCGGTTAAAAGAAAGATTTTTCCATTGCTGGAAAGGTACAAGTATGCAAGTAAGTGAATGTAACTGACCGGTGTCAAGAAAACAAACAGAAACTGCTGAAACTCGTCGTAAAATACCAAAATTTAGTAAGTACTCCTACCGAACGGGACAACAACTTATCGAGTTCTTACTGTGGTCTTGGAAGATTGTGCTGGTAGTCCATTGCAGCCCCATTCAAATCCGTGAATTGGCTAGGAGGGTCAAACACGATTTCCAGCGGCTCTTTGTGCGAAAGACTCAAACGGGAGCGAACTTGTTTAAACATTGTGACGTCCTGGCCGGCTTCTTTGTGTAATTCAGATCATTCACGGCGTCAAAGCAAACAGTCTTTTTGTATTTGTTTCCTTAAACTGGAATTATTGTCAATCACGCTCTAATGAGAGTAAATGATAGTCTTGTGAGCTTCAGTCGGCTATTGCGGCTGTTGTGGTGTTAAAAAAGTTTCGAGCAACTTTTGTTAAGTTGTTCAAGCGAGCCAACTATCATTATAACTCACTTAGCTCTCTTTAAAGCCGCTAAACAGCTCAGACGTGCGTTAAACAGTGCATGAAACGGAAGGGTCATTGAGCAGTTGGAATTCTTTTGTTAGGCGAAGAAAAGAACTTTCGCAATTCATTCCCTTAATTATCATAACACAAAAAACTTATCAACAATTCTTTCAATATCAGAAACCACTCCTAAACGAAGCAGTCAGGTTTGCATGCTCGAAAGCTTTCATCTGCCATCGTTTTTAATGATACAGATAACCTGCCTTTCTACAGGTTATTGCGTCAGAACACAATTTTCTGTTTATTTCTAATTTCCTTTTTCTCTAAGCCTGGAAGGAATCTATGGAATGGCTTTGGAATTTCCAAAGCGACTGTCCGCTGTTCAAAAACCCCGCAGAAACTTAGCCTTCCGCCGGCTTTTGTTACCCATAGAGATGGCAAGCTAGTGAAAGCGTTTGCTGCAATGGTCTAGGGAAGTAATTCCATGTGCAACGGCAGATGCCACTATAAAATGTGCCGACCACTAAAAGAAGGAACTGTTATTGATAATCTAAAAAAAATTTAGGGATGTATTGAACTATGGATTAATTTTTTCGCAGAGTTTTTCGGAAAACTCAAGAAACTATCTAGCGAGGAACTAGTAAAAACAGCGGTGGACTTAAGCACGGCTAAGATACTAAGAAACATGGATAGATAGATACTTTATTATAAACACCTTGCAGCCATAGGCCGAATTACGGAATATTTACAAATACAGATGATAAAAAAAGGAGTATAAAATATTACAACTTCGTCATTAAGAAAGAAGGAAAATTATCTACATCTTACAAATATGGCTAAAAATAAAAATGTTCTTCAAGCGTTCGGTTTTACATATGGGGAGAGTGAAATCACTTTTGCGCCTCAGTGCGTATCTACAACTCTTCCTTTGGGGGATGAGGCTGTGGAGTCTATGGGTGGGGTTACGGATTATCTCGTCAAACAGATTGGTTGAAATCTTTTCTCTCCTCGTTAAGTTTCGGTAGGCCAGCTGTTTCTAGTGCTACACCATATGACAGGTCAGGATAGATGATTCTGAGTGCCCTTCTTTGGATCCGTTCCAAATCTTCACTGATGTAGTTTGGTAGAGAACGTTGGAATACAGGACCTGCGTATTCCAAGACGGGCCTAATACATGTCACATAGAATTGCACAAGTTCGCTTGGTGCAACTCCGGGTCTCTTGAGTTCTGGTGACTAATTCAAGGGGTTTGCCATTTAGGACTAGGGGTTCGAAATCGTGAATGCAGTTAGAGAATCCTATTGGTAGTTCTTTGCACTTGGCCTCATTCAGTTGGAACTGCACTAGACACATTCAAAAGGAGCCTCAAGACCGTTCTTTTTACACAAGCTTTTTATCGTTTTTTGTAACTTTTTATTTATTTTCAAAATTGTAAAGCGCCATAGAGCTTTTAGGATATGGCGCTCTAAAAATCTATATTATTATTATTATTATTATTATTAACCCATCGATACTCGCTTGTCTTGAAAGGTCATCCACAACTTCTTGGAGTTTGCTCTCACTGCCCTTAGTAACTATTTCGGAACAAGATGTGTCGTCCACGTATTTCCACAAGTCAGCTGGGGTGTCCAAATCGGTAATCATGATGAGAAATAACCAGGGACCTAATTTTGTTCCTAAGGGGACGCGGGATGGTACAGAGCACCATTCAGAGTGACAATCTTGAGCAAGTTTAACTCTTTGTTTCCGGTTCATCAAAAAGTCAACAATCCAGCTTTTGGTTTGACTCGGAATATCATATGTTGCTAGTTTTTCAACGAGAACACTATGGTCGATAAGGTCAAAAGCCTTACGGAAGTCAAGTAGAGCTACTCTTGCCGTGGCAACATTTCCGTCGGTGTTAACAAGCCAATTATGCGTCATGTTGACCAGAGCATGTGTGGTAGACGATTTGGGAATAGATCCGAATTGGCGAGGGTCGATACTTTGTAACACGGCTGGTTTAACATATTTCTCAACAATGTGGTCTTCAGCGAGTTTGGACAAGATAGGCGTGAGAGAAATGGGACGGAGGTGCTTGTTAATATCATTAATGGGCCTTTGTTTTGGGACCGGGACTACGTCAGCCTCTTTCCAGGAAGGCGGAAGGCGGGATTCGTGGAACGAGGAGTTAAGGATCACAGAGACTGGTCCCGCCAAGAGATCAGCGTTTTCTTTTAATAACCATACCGGGATGCCGTCTGGCCCTTGTGCTTTGGAGGGGTTGAGTGCGGACAGTTTCATAAAGGTTGAAAACTCCGATATCGTATTTACGGCATGACTTTCTTTGTTGATTTGTGGTGGATCAAAAGGATTGTGGGTAAGAGGCTCAAAACTCTGCATTGGAGTCGGGAACGCTGAATTCATGAAATTCGCCAGATCACCAGGTGAAAAACCTAGGTGTTGCAGTAACTTGCTGGTGTCATCACGCGTTTCTGAGGCAGGTGAAATGCCGCTGAGCTTTTTCACCTCTTTCTACCACACGGATGGCTTGCACTCCCTCAAATGGCTAACCTTTGCTTCGTAGTACTTTGCCCGGCGGATCTTACGCTCGCGATTCACGCAATTTCTAAGCATTCGAAAGGTGTGCATATTTCCTTTTGCAAGGGCACGCTGGCGTCGTTTGATCAGGTTCTTGAGTTTATCGTTCAACCGTGGTGGCTCGCTTCGATGAATAGTTTTGGATCACAGGGGAATAATAAAGAATAATAAACATTTGACGAAAGAGCAGAATAGAGAAAAGCTGAAATTAGCTAGAAAATGTGAGTAAGAAAAATTATTAAGTTGAAAGAAAAGCATTTTGTAACAGTGCAGCTTATGAACCTTAACTGTCAAAGTAATTCAAATTTTATCTTTATGCTTATTATTATTCAACCCTTTGCATAGATATGAGTAGGGGTTAAGATTTCTGTTTTGCGAACAATTTTGTATAACATGGATTCATTCCTTGTACCAGCCCTTTTTTTTTTATTGCAATCTTCTGAACGCACTACGTACTGATACAACTACGTAGCGTTAGCTCAAATATGCATACGAGACATACAAGCATCAACCGGCCAATCACGTTAGTTGCAAACGACGTCAACATGTGGTAAGAACAAAAAATGGGGGAAATGAAGTGAAACCAGGTGTGTCGCTGATATTCTTACCACATTTTGACGTCATCTGTGATTTGTTACGTTACGGAAACATAGAATCTGTTTTAAAGAATAAATAAGCAAAATGTCATAAATAGTGACGTCATATTTGCGTCTGTCCTCTAATAGATCATAGGCCACAGGCAGCCCAGGCTCACTACTAGAAAAGCGGAAGTGACTCTTAAGGCTGGTTTTCATTAGCGACGGAGTTGGAGTCGTAAGAGCGCTTATGACCTAGTGAAAATCGAAAAACGGAGTCGTAAGCGGAGTCATAAGCTCGACAGAGTCGGAGTCGGAAGAATCAGAACGTTCCCATTTTCTTCCGATTCCGCTTATGACTCCGCCGCTTACGATCCAGTTAAAATTGCATTGTCGGAGTCGGAAGCGGAAGCGGAAGAATAAACCAAACATAATTCTCGATTCCAGGCCCGCGAAAGTACA